AGCAGACCTGTATGCAGCCACGAGACGGTGCGGTTAATGATAGCAAATTCAGTAAAACCAACAATGGTAAGGCGAACGTATGCATTCTTTTCAAGAACTGTGTTGATTTTAAGGCGCGAGGATAAGAGTAAGGTTTGGTCACAGGTCGTTAGCTGACAAGTGTAGGCCGTCGACCGGCACACCGAAACAGCAGGCGCACAAAAAGGCAAATTCCCTTAATGATAGTTCAAAATACATTTAGCACTCATAATATAATGCACTTGATAGTAAAATCCAGAAACGTTGCATTGGATGAATACAAGGACCAGCTACGATCTGACGTTAAACTTCAAGCCTGAAACGATTGAAAACTAACGCTACGACGTTCACTGTGTAATGTAACGGCCGCAACTAGAACGCTGTTAGGAATCAAATATGTATTGAGTGTTGTTTATCACTTTAAATGTAAGAGGATAGAAATGAGCGCTACGTGATTGACCACAATATGACACGCAGGACTAAGAAACCCAGTAACAACAACAGCCTCTGGCTTCCCATGAAAACGCGTAAATCACCGCGATCAAAATTCTCCAATAAGGCGAACATGTACTAAAACACATCGGTATATTATGCTCCAATTGGCTTTGAACTATAACTAAAACATTGTAGCAGGTTTTCAATTAAGCTTCAGAAGTCTCGACTAGTAGCTTGCGCCTGCAGCCCTGAGCTGTCGGTAGAAACGGCTAGGAAGTAAGTTTCAGAGGTTGTTTACCGCAAAACCAACATAAAAAACCTGTCAGACTAAATCTATACGCCACCTTAGTACGGGCTGGAAAAATATCCGAAAAGCCGGTTATTATCCGTCACAGGGTGGCATCCTCACAAATTGGCGGAGCGTTTTCGTTTTAAATTCAGTCGATTTAAGTAAAACCTATTTCCAGATGATAATAAACAAAGATTTGAACGAACATTTAAGCTATCGATACATACACAGGATTCCACTAGTTAGAACGTTCATGCTTTGGAGTAAAGGAAACCTTTTGGCAGGTGAGTGGCACACTGATCGCTTATACCTTGATGACATCATCGTTACTGTTGAAGTTTGGAAGGTGAAAAGCGCCGCGTACTCGTACTTCTAAAACGTAGATTTCTTGAAAAAATGCATTTTTCAGACTGTTTAATTATCCAATGAGGCATCCGCCGTCCATGAGTTATCCAAAAAAACAAATAAGTACGATATCTAAACAGTGTCTTGAAAACTCACTCGCTATCGGGAATCATCGGCTTCTACCTTTAATACTTTTTCAGAATACATTCCTCTCTGACCATCAGGCGTATGCAGACACTTATCATTGCTTGCCATTTACAACGAGAGGCAATCGCTTGGCATTGACCCTCTTCGCTAAGATTAATAGGCTCTTCGTTTATTCTATAAGCGAGAAGGTAAGCAGTAAAAAACTCGGAAGACGTTTTCGCCAGGGCTCTAAATGTAGCCGCAACCGAAATACATTCATGCTTGATCATTGACCAGTTGAGAGAGATCAGAAAGTTTAAACTATTGGAATGGTGACCAGAACAAGTCTTGGGGCCGGACATTCTGACAATTTTAAAATCGACGTGATGCGCTTTCTAGGGTGGCAGGAGATAGGACAAATATTCCACCACTTCTTGAGCTGTTCCAAGTATTTTAAGACATTTAACATTAGATATTCTGTAATTATTCGAATGAAACAGATGAAATAGCCGGCATGTATTGAAAGGATCGAGAAACATACTGCCGCGGCGGAAAACCATATTAAACATAACCTTCCTGCTAGCAAAAAATCGACAAATTTGAGTTCTCGAGGGCGCATCAATTAGGCGACGTTGAGCTGGAAATACTCTCCGATTATCGTTGAGGTTTATTCAAAATGGCCACAAATCATCTTCTTCTTAAGCTGACTAAAGACTTTTTCTTGAACGCCGCTTGGACAAAATCTTCAACCAGTTTAGATATGCAGGAACATTCGCTCAGGACGATAATACGCAATTTGGCCCCCTGAACGCTCCGCAAGTTCAGCGACCACTTTCGTTTAATGTTCAGCCCGAAGCTGAAATAGGCCATGAAGACGACAAAATAACAAAAGGGTGACCTACTTCATTATGTTCATCAATTGCAGCCATTCTAATAAGAGTCCGACTAAGATGTGTAAACATCACGACGCTAAATGTAAACAAGTATAAGCTTGTAGAAAATGACGCTAACTCGGAGAGTCCTATGTGATACTTAAGCGTTCTCGGAAACGTACCAACGGAAAGATAGCACGCAGTACCAACGTATGATTTGCTCGCGTACAGTTCACGCGCGATTCGTGTACAAGCGATACAAAGGCTGTAACAGCTATAAAACCATTAACCGAGCCATTTCAAGTCTCAACGATCGGCTGTTCCGTTCTTTTTTATTCAGCAGCTTTATTTGCGTAGGCGGGTTTAAATGGTAAAAAGAAAAAATTAGGTATCGAGCTGAAGTGTTCGAAAGGTCGAACCGTATCCGACGTCCAGTTATTGCCTCTGTATATATATAACAATGAAATAATTTTTGCTCTTACCTCTTACCTCTGCACTTACCATCAAACTATATATTTTCTATCGGCTATCGTCTAATCGATTCATACGCACATATTGTCTGAGATAATATGTTCTTGAATTTTTGTTAATCGCTTCATTATTATTGGCGTCATCGTTTCGTTCAAACTAGAAAATATTAAAGCGAGAGTTCGAAGTTAGGTGAACGCTATGTCTTACGGTAAGCGTGAGTTCGCGACGCCTACCTCAGTTAACGTCAATAAGCTGCATAACATAGAACATTTGATGTACGGTAAAAAAAAGTAACAGACGTGAAACGGGACTCCCATAGCAGCAGTGCGTACAAAAATGTATAAGAATCGCAGCCATAAACATCACGGAACACGTTCATTTTATTGACAGGTCGCACAAAAAACTGAGATGGTCAAATAGATGTATTGGAGAATGCTTTGCCATGTTAAACAACGGGGGTCAACGGTTGACTTATGCACACTTTCGAGAAAGTATCTTATGATAAAACAGGTGTCTAGAGCTAACCGAAGGTACTAAGCTCGAAACGATGTGAGCGAAACCACTGGTGGCTTGCTGATCTACGAGCATAATTGAACATACCGCGCTGCCTGTAGTGCATGCCGCAGCTGAAGCTAACGATGATGGGTGGGCTACTTCAGCCCTTTGAGGCTGTTTGTATATGAAGAGGACGTGTTGTATATGAAAACAGACAAGCAGTTACTTCGAAAAGTCGGCGGGAGGAAGCGACACTTCGGGACACTGGTCGAAGCAATATATCAGTGCAAAAAATATTAGACAGGAAGCGCAGAAACTAAACAAGACGAAACAATGTAGCACGTTCATGGTTAGAAAGCAAACACCTAACTTGGGGGAGCGTCCTGCACCAGAGAACCGGAAGGATGAGAGGGGAAACGGGTTGTGACTTATGGGTACCATCTTCAGAACTAGTACAGAATAAAACTTAGATATATTTACATTCGAGTTCGGTTTAACCCTTATGACATCTCTGAAGCTACTTGTTTCGAAAATGAACTCCATTATGCTTAGCAGGTAACTTTTAATATATATGTATATATATAATTAAGGAACGGTTGCGTTTACGAATTAATGATACCATTCACTGCTAGGCCTTGATAGATTTTTAGAAAATAAACTTAAAATAGTTGTAAGGGAAGTATCTATTCAATACTTTTTTCAAAGCAAACCAAAGGAAGGGCAAGTGGCAAAGTTCGTAACTTCCAAACGATTTCTCCACAAACAGTTGTGCTCTGATGCTGGGATACATAAGGTAAAACACATATTAAAGGTACAGCTGATTGAAATATCTATTAATATATGATCACGTGTTTTCAAGCTGTGGATTTGAATTTACATTGTAAATCGGGTACAGCACTGAAATGGATGGAATCACATATTGCATCTATCACCAAAACAGTAGGTCTATAAACAGTCTTTGACTCTGAGCGAAATTGTGCATTATCTATGTTAGACTCAACGCCCGACCCACGGAACACACGAGCAACTGACATTCCATATTAGCGATAAATGTAGTACTAACATACCTAGGCGGCGACGTAAACATACGTTTGAATCAGTATTGGATTCCGGTTAATTGAAGTTTCGTTTTTTGTCATGCCTCCGAAAGAAACGTCGCACATAGTGCGAGCCTATACGTCCACGAAAGGGTTGGCAAAGCGAAAATTGCCTATACATTGTTTCGCTGCAATGCGAACAGAGCAAAGTTCCTACCAGTAGTATGTAAATGTACTCGTAAGAGTTCGTGATTCATAGTGCAGGTAAACAGTATATCGATTCGGATTGTAGCCTTTACATAACTGTGTTGTGTCCTTAGATTTTGAAGTTAAAGGATGCTGATGAGGGCGTAGTAAAGAAGGTGTTTCTATGCTTTTCCGCTAAGTTCAAGATAATTTATTGAATGTGTGTTCAGACTTACGCCGATTTTGAAGCCATTTAATAGACAGATTACTGTGGCAAATTTGCCCTGCGTATGAAATATTAAGTACAATGGCACCCGGCAATACATATGTATGTTCGGAAGTACAGAATTCAGCTGTTGAAACTCTCCATATTATTTGCTACAGCTATTTGCACTATTACCCTATTAAAACAAAATATTTTCAATTCACTTTCTTTGGTCTTACTGGATATATATCGAGCTCTATGACAGCAAGGAAAGACAGGGAATGTACACAAGAATCTTCCTAGAATAGCCTTATGAACTGTGCCAAAGTTGCATGCCCGTATACAAAAAAAATCCCGCTTTCCAAAATGGCGCTGTTTTAAAGAAAAATTTGAAATCACTATATTCCAAAGCGAAGCTTGCACATAAGGATGAGAGGAATCGCTAGTTCATATAGCGCCCGCGGTCAGCGTGCCAAAGGTTATCATTCACTATAATTTTCATATGGCTCGTAACATTTCAGCCTCCATAACAGCAGCACACCGACGAGGTGTGGTATGTAACTGCCGCTTTACTGTGCTAACGGAGCCCCACAATGGCCAGCGTCCTGTCGTTGTCGACAGTAACTTCTCGATCAGGATCGTTGACAAGCCCTATTCAGTTGGCGCTAATTCTGTTGCTGGTTTTGCCCACTGGAGATGCCGGCACTGAAACCCGTTTCGCTGCGAGCTTTAAGCGACGCAATCGTACGCTGCAAGGTTGCGTTCCTCTGTGGAGCGCTGAGTTGCCATCCGTGTCACAGTGCCTTAGCGCTTGTATCCGGTTGGGGTAAGAGTACTTTTTCATGCCAATTTGCTTGACCGACTAGCCAATGCCAATAGTTCTGGCTACCTCTAATTAATTCTCTTTTTGCCTATAATCTGTGTAGTTTTTAGCGAAGAACAATTTCCCTGCATTCACATGTACCGCTTTTCAATTAGATGCCAGTCTCTAGTATATGGCCATGGACGGTGCGAGCTTTTCCCGACGTTCTTGTGTCACCCCAAAGACCGTTTCCATCTTTCGTTGGTGCCCGCGGCCGGCATGACCTACTTCGATCTCGGATCAGAGATAACTCATGTCAAAACCCTCTGGAGTGATAACGGCTGTCTCCTCTATGACCGCTGTTTAAAGGGGTGCAATGAAGATTCATGGACGACCTTAACGTCTGCAACTACAACGACGGTCGGGCTAGCGACTATCGGCGAAAACTCAGGTTCAGGCTCTATTTCAGATTTAACGCTAGGTGTATTTGGATGCATTCTGCAAAGACTTCAGCTAAATTAGTCATCGTATTGATATAGTTCCAGATGGCCTATTTTATCTACATCTTTATAATATTTTGCATTATCGCGAATGTTTGTACAAAATTGTTTTATGTGACTGTTTCTTTTCGAAATTAAATAACGATTCCTTGAATTTCTTAATTCAGGGGCCATCTTTGAGCTTAACTTCCGTCCCTTGTCAATCGGCAACCTGTGCCATCGTTAGCTGTCTATATTTTATTTGCGCAGGTTCTTAAAGCATACTTTTAATCGCTTGCCATTCTGCCTTAGCCAACAGTTCTCTGTGTAACCAGCATTTTTTAACTGCGTTGCCTGTATCCCACTTGCTGTCTAAAGCGATTTCTGCCGTTGTCGGTACCGCATTGATCAGTGCTGGCAACTCCAAATCCAAAGCCACATCTGTCCAATCAACCGACCCAATTTCTTTAGCTTCACTACCATCAGAGCCTACAACAAAAGCGAAAAAAATTGGCGCACGTTTCTTTCTCACCACTGAACCGATGACGTTCAGAGATTCCTCGGAATATTGCCGCCGACGAAATATGTCCCTGGGGATGCCAAAAACACGTGAGGAGCACAATATTCTGGTGGAAGCGATGAAAATACGCCAAATCGGCCGTATGTGGATTGGCGTCAAGAAGATCACCGAGTAAGTAATGGCTTTGTTAAGTTACGACTAAAAACGAAGCGTTTCATGTCAAGCTAGCTATACGTACCAAATTATATATGTCTTTAAACAATCTGACGCCGTTCTAATTATAACTGGCTTGCAACTTACAATTTATTTCTGTTCTTTCAGAGGAGGCACAGACGCCACTTACATAGACGGGCGTTCGGTTCCCACAAGTATGCAGCTCTGGGGCGACGGTCAACCTAATAACTCACGAGGAAAACAGATTTGCATCGAGATGATGGCTTCCTTAAAGTATCTTTGGAATGACTTTGACTGTCTCTACAAGAGCGCATTCGTCTGTCGGTGATTCGTCGGAAATACCGGCGCAATTTTATGTACTTTTAAAAAACTACTTTAAATTCTTATTTTGTCATTGGTTGCCTCGTGTGGCTTTACGCAAAAGTGACGGCAGGTTGCTATCTCTAAATATATATTCGTGAGTTTCTAATCGATAACCGATATGATAGTTACCACGTCTCTCGCAAAATATCATTACTTTATTACGAACCCTAGTATAGCCCGCAGACTAGCGTATTAGCTGGTAGTTACAGAACACCACCCTTCCGATCATTTCAATGTAAGCATTCACTCAACCAAGCACGAGTCAAATAAAAGCTATGTTAAACTGTCGTAAGGATGATAAAACGAACAAAAAATGTTATTAAGCTGTTATGTGATAGTTATAACGGTTATTAAGAACTTGAAAAAATAATAAAGACAACCAATTGTCGAACCTGCTCTTGGTATTTTATAGGTAAAATACAACGATGGTCAATAGTATATAAATAAATGATGGCATCCACCTTCATCGAACATAGGATTCTAATCCGTCTAAACGAAAACGTTACAGCGGCCAATCAATTTCAGATATACAGCAGTCACGAATAATCACGTAAACGAGGGATTCAGTCTCTAATATGATAACAGCAACGCCCTAGCAACATTAAAAACGTCAAAAGTCTCAGATCGTTTAGGTTCATTTTGCTAAACCAAATGATTTGTAGTATAGGGAAAATGCATTCCTAATAAAAGTTTGGAAAAACGGAACATTTCTTGCAAATATTGCGAAAAAGAACTTACACCTGTTTAAATAGTTCATACTATATATACGCGTTGTCAGACGCTGCATGAACTTGCTAAATTGGCCATTTTGTTAGCTATTTTGTAGAAAACTTGTGATCAGTTTTTACTTATTTTTGAAATAGAATTACTATTATTACTGTTATTATTGACGGTACTTGCGATTAAGAAAATGTATAGATGTCTGGAAATAGATTCATAAATCCTAAATATATATAAGTTATAAATATAAATAAACCATTTTTACCCAGTCGTATTTGAAACACATATAGTTTTCTTATCACTAATCGCTAGTTTATCTAGATTTGTTCGTTTCTTAGATATATGCTAGCACATTTCGACTAAGGTGAGTTAAATGAAGTTGGTCGTAATTTTTAATTGATTGAAAACTATATGATAAGATCAACAATGAGACTTATCTTCCAATTTTCTTCAATTTAATTTTGTCTAACAATTCTCTGCTTAGATAATGGCAGTTCCTCATAGAGTCACGTACATTGATTTGGGTATAAGCACTTGGTGCCGTTAAAGCCTAAATCACTCGGCCTCATTCAAATTTGGCGCTACCCTTTCACCCTTCTCTTGTCGCAAAATTCTCTGTCCACCATAATGTGAGTTTCCTTTAGTTTTGGAGCCGATCTGCGATTGTACGCTACTCGTTTCGAAGTTATACCAGGCCCATCCGACCGCTTTGTGGTCTGTGGTGAGAAGCTTATTGTTCGCAACAGATTGTACCTATCACCGCCGCCGACACTATCTTTGGCGCATACAGTGTGAGCTTACTGGGAGCCGACAATAGCCGTGGTCGAGCGACGAACTGCTTTTGACGATGAATGCGCTACAATCGCAGACGCAGGTCAGTTTAGCATCAGTCCATGTGCTAATGAACTTGGATCTGGGAGAGGTATAAGCAAGGTGTACAATGTACCTTTAGGGTAATTTCGAGATCAGAGCTCGAAGTTCTAAAGAATAGGAAGCAAGTGGTTCCATATACTTTACTCTCGGCAGCTGTTGACGTATTGGCAACAAAATCTATGGATGTCCGACGGTCATCAGGCATTTTACGTCGACTGTCTTCAGAAATAACAGTGATGTCGAACAAGAGGCACTCTCTATTTGAAGCTGGCACCAAATATCTGTTTTAGTGAGTATTAGGAAAGCAGAATAAAACAATCCGTGTGAACATATCAATTAATTGGTATTAAAGCATATGCCTGTAACTGCTTTCATTTTAAAATGACCTCTTGTGGTGTACAGTTAGTGTCTGCACTCACTATTCATAAGATCGTATTTGCTATCCTGAAAATCACCCTTTGGGAGCTCGAACTATTATACCTAATAAGGCAGAGGTTAGATAAACGTTTTGTTATTCACGATGTTATCTGGTCAAAATATTTCGTTAATAGTAACGTTAGTGCGCTACATTCTTGTCAGAAATCCTGGAGGTCGTCTGGGAAGTGAGATTAATAACCCAACCAATATCGAGGCTGTAATGTAGAAACGCTGAAATTCTTGGGGCGCAAAGCGTAAAAACGTCCCACTTGGATCCAGTTCATCTGAATTTACAACCTTTCATTAGCATTCAACAGGCCCGAAAAGGATCGGACGAGGACAAGTCTTAAAAACATGTTTCCGTTCGATTGTCTGAATTTGAACGATTTGCTTGTTTGAGTACTATGTCAGAATACAATCAATAGAAGGAACCAATGATAATTAATAATTGCATCCTAAGAAACGTTAAGGTTCAATATCAGCATGATACGACCCTATGGGACAAACATTTTTTAATCAAGTTTTAGAAAATCTTGTCTCCTTCATTGAGCGCAACAAAATATACCACGCATAGCATCAACGCTGTAACCGTATCTCAAAATACATTACTATAGGCTAGTATGTGTGTCTTAGCAGATGGTTTCTGTATTTCAGTCTTTAACCTGTATATACTTTTTGTTTGAGTCTTTGCTACAAATTGTTCGAGAGCAAATCTAATGAATAATAGTGACAACCTACTGGCTTTGCTCGAATATATACTACTTGTCATTGTGTCGGCTCAGTCATACTAAACGAGTGTGTTCATTATAGAATGATTGGTTACAAACAGTACATGACTTATATAAAAGTATTAAAAATAAAATATGTTCATGGGACGTCAATGATAAATAAATACGGATAGCATAGGCACATCTAAGGACAGGACGAAAAGTAACTTTTGCAGCAGGCTGTGATTTGGAACCGTCTTAAACTGTGTGATTCGATTAAATTATAGTCGATTAAATTCGACGAGAATTAATTGATAAACTATGCTGAAAGTCAACTAAGCATCAGATATCGGTATAAAAGTATCATGCTGCATGAATCAGTGGCTGTTGTTGAAGGGTAAATGGTACAGAAGAAAAATCTTTGTTTTTTATTAAAACGTTCTAAAAAATAACCTAGCTAAAAATGCTGCTAAATAGGTAGGGAATAAGGCAGTTAGATGAATGATACTACATATGGAAACGTGTTTATTACTTTTGAGAAAGCTTGGTAGCGAATCACTAAAGTGAGATGGGTCTCTGTATGTCGCCGCCAGTTTGATCTCTGACAGGCTAACAAATCGAACTATTCAACAGCGTACGCGCTTGTCAACATTTTAAATACATGTAAGATTTTTTCTTATGTCACTTGTACGAACCCGCATCGTCATAAACTAGTTGTACTAGAAGCTGATTGAAGTGGTGTCCGCCAGCTGATTATTAGATCGGGGTTATATCAGTGGCCATATTTGTCGTATTTAACCAGTCTTTCGTTTGGACCAGTTCGAAGAGCAGGTCTACACCTCTCTTAGCTGCTGTCGTGTCACAGAGGGTTTTATCGACATTACGAGCCCTTTTACCCTCATCAAAGGACTGGTGTACAGTGTAGCATGAGCCTTTGGACATTTTCGTAATTTTTCGTCTATTCTCATTATTTGCCTTTATCTGCTATCACTCCTTGCTTAAAGAATTCACGAAACTCTCTGTAACACGGTTGTCGAGCTAGAATCGCTTAATTTCGCTGTTCGTTTGATAAATATGTAGAGATCGGATGGTGCTATTTGTTTAGGCTTTGATTTTGTTGTTCTAGGTAATTATGGGCGGACCAGGTGGTCCTCAAGGAGGGGGCGGAGGTGCTCCAACGATGTCACCAATGGAACGCGAAAAGGTTTTCCAGTGGATAGCTGAACTTGTAAATCCGGAAACCCGTGAGAACTCCCTTCTTGAACTCAGGTACATTGTTTTTTTTTATTTTTATTTATTTATATTTGTGCAGTCCTACAGCAGAGACCTTACGCTCTCTGTGTGCGTGTGTAGACTAGACTGCTGGTAACAATGAATAGATGTAATACTACTGCGATATGGAAAATAGATACATGAAAAACTGGTAAATGCGCCCCTTATTTCATCATCCGTCTAATTAAAATGACTCTTGATAGAGTAGTCCAAACGCTGTTATCTTAGAACAAGGTTATGAGATTATAATGAGCAACGCATACGTCATACTATTTTCAAATTAAAACTGATAATGTTCCTTAATTACGTCGTACCGATCTATCTAATTTTGGTGAGATTTACTGTCGAGTTTGTCCAGTTGACTTAGAAATGTCACATGACATTTTGAAGCCTCTTGTTGCTTTTAACAGTAAAAAGCGAGAAGTTGTTCCCGATCTGGCGCCTATGTTATGGAACTCGTTTGGCACAATTGCCGCTCTAGTCCAGGAAATCATTCACATCTATCCGGCAATCAACCCACCATCGTTGACAGCCCATCAATCTAATCGTGTCTGCAATGCCTTGGCGCTCCTGCAGTGCGTCGCTAGCCATCCCGAGACGCGGTCGTTTTTCCTGCAAGCCAACATTCCTCTTTATCTGTACCCGTTTTTGCATACCGTGTCGAAGACGCGCCCGTTCGAATACCTGCGCCTGACGTCTCTGGGTGTTATTGGTGCGCTGGTAAAGACTGATGAACAAGAGGTCATAAATTTCTTGCTCACCACGGAAATAATTCCACTCTGTCTGCGAATTATGGAAAGCGGTTAGTTGCCAATGAAGTTTCCCTGTTGTTCGTCGGCATTGCGTACCCAGCACTACTTATTTTTTATATCTATAACTGCGTAGGGGATAACTCACAACTCATGTAACGTACCACAAGGTTCAGCGGTGCTTGTTTGATTGACGAACAAAGATAATAACAGGAGTGCTCGAAGTCATATAGGCAATACTGTAAAACAAAGTTTAGAAAATGTAAGCTCTCGTGGTCCACAGTTAACTTTTCCGGCTGCTTGTATTCACCCTAAACGAAGTAAAATCTATATTCTATCGCTTTACAGGCAGCGAACTCTCCAAGACAGTGGCGACATTTATTCTGCAGAAGATCCTTTTGGACGACACTGGGTTAGCCTACATCTGTCAGACCTATGAGAGGTAAGTGTAATTAGTTATGTTACAACTTAGTATACTGATTTTTGCAGAATTATAATCTTCTCTGATGGGCTAGGTGAGACGCGCAGGATTTTCAACAATTTAGTTATTTCCTTCAAGCAATATATACGTAATAATACTGTATAAACTACGATAATCTTTTTTGTACAGGTTTTCACACGTGGCGATGATTTTGGGTAAAATGGTGATCTCATTAGCCAAGGAGCAGAGTTCGCGACTTCTCAAACATGTGGTGCGATGTTACCTGCGGCTTAGTGATAACGCTCGGGCAAAGGAAGCCTTGCGTCAGTGTCTACCTGATCAGCTCAGAGATAACACCTTTTCCAATTGCCTTAAAGAAGACAGGTGTGTCATTAGTTTCTCTTTAGTTTCGTCGTGGAGCAATGATGTCGACTGTAGACAATTATCTTGATGTAAAAAAGGGAATGGACACGTTGGAGTATCGTTGGACTTCAGTCATAAATTGCTACTAGCAGTGGATGTTGAAAAAAAAAGTTATTGAAGCAGTTTTTGCAATTTTCAACTATTTATATCTTGAAATTTTGAAAATATCTACCCGTAAACAACATTTAAGCAGTGATGCAATAATGCAAGCGTTACTCTAATCGTCTTAACAGTTACATAATAATTTCAGGTCGACCCAGCACTGGCTTCGTTCGCTTCACAAGAATCTTGCTGAGGATCCTCAGGAGGGAATATTGTTCTCACCTCAGCAGGCCGGACAGGTGCCGGCATCAAGTTAAACATGTTCAAAACGCAATAATCAGTAGAATGCGTCTGCGCAGCTAAGCGAAGGGAAGTTAAGTTGGGTTGACGGATTAGCGTCCGACTGGCAGTAGCGCCCTCGTTAAGCTGTTCATACCGTGTTTGCTATTATGGGCCGACAACAGCTTTCGTGTGATTTTATTTACGGTCGACACAATACACGGCGATTATTGGGATACATTCAAAATGGAAAATAGGGGGATTCAAGTGGGTAGTGTCAGTGACAACGGAATAAGTGGTGTATATCATATCTATGAATGGCACTAAAAATGAATTGCAACTGGAACCTCTGGCAGTGGCGAGACGAACTTTTTTCAGTCAGTAGTTTTGAGGTCGAGATTAGATGAATTGATTTGACGAGCGTGTCAAGTGGGCTGCATTCAATTCGAATTATGACTTAACCAGTAGCGAATGCAATCTTCACCATCAATAGTGGTTTCAGGTAAGGTTGCACCTCGACATGGTTTTATTCTGAAAATAACTATTAACCGAAGTCCTAAAAAAACAAGGAACTTCAAGTGATAAGGTGGTTACGTTGCCGAGCCCATTTTCGCCCTCAAACACGCCGCAAAAAAAATACCAAATCTAATTATTTTTCTAGTTAGAAACTCAAATGGCTTTGTTGTGCATAAACCTACTACTATGCACAGCAGTACTAAAATGGGATAAATATAAGGATTTATACTATCTGTGAACCGTACGTAGTCAACAGTTGGCATTGCAAGAAGGGTCACCTGCATTTTGTGACTGTTTTGTCAGGTGAGAATTTTGACAGATATATGAACTTGCAAAAGGGTTTTTCTTCATTGCGATACTGACGTTTCGGAACTTCAAAATGTTCTCCGAAGTTAAATTCTGCCGAATTACTATGAAAGACACGCACACATCAATATGTATAGATAAAATAATTAGTCAGCACAATCACTCTGAATAGGATATTACGCTTAATAAGAGCCACTACGAGTTTCTTTTTACTAGTGCTAGAAAGTGCTAATACTCCAAAGTGTCCGATAGATAAACACAGTCACATACAGACATACACTTAGTTTCAACGAAATAGAATGGAAAAACCCTAGGCGTGATAAATGCTCATCGTATTGTAATGGAAATTATGGCGAATAATCTCCATAGTGGCATGTGTTCCCCATGGAAAGCTTTTTTCTTAATTGACCTTTAGGTCATGGTTTGGTCTCATTTTTTTCCGTATTCAAACGATACACATTCATTGGTGGTGGACGTTGATGATGGAGGGGGGGGGGGGGGTATCCGACAAAAGGGGCGTTCAGTTTCAATCATTTACACCATTCATTCTTCAAATCACTCAAGCGTTTTTCCAACAAAACGAAGCATGCGCGTGTGCGAAAAAGAAAAGCCCAAGTTATTGATCGAAGTAACCATATAGATACACATGACTTATATCAAAAGGTGAAGTCATCCAGGTTCAACTCATGGGTAAGGGCGAAATGTATTCTCTTGACTGCCGTAATCATGTAAATATGTACATTGACAGATAGATGGGTATTTGATATATGGTAAAAATTATGTGGTCCATTAATAAGATAGGATAGTAGCTTTATAACAAATGATCGTGTGTGTGTGTATTACCGGTTCGTTGCTCTACTAAAATAATAGGATTCAATCGACGTTGGTTGCGTTCAGTTGGGGGTATATATAGCACTATTGTGAATGTTATAGTCTGTTGCTGTGTGGATAAAGAAGTTTCACCGACAGGTCACTAGGGCAAGACATCGTCGTTAAAAAAGATTTTGCCAAACAAAAAGCAGAAACAAATAACGAAGAAGGAAACGATCAAAAAATATTTTAGGCCCCAATCAGTATTATATCACATAACGTTGATACCTAGTTGTCCAGACTAAATCAAGGAACTATAGTATTCTGGCTGTATGGCAAGAGTGTAGTTCAAAATTTGAGGCATGCAATCATCATACACCGGCGGCCGATGAAACCAGCTTGCTCAGTGTGATATAGCCCGCAGGAACCTGTGGAAACATAACATACACTATATACAATATACATGAATGCATATTCTCAACGGAAATGTATATCTAAAGCCACGTATTATGATCACCCTACAAAAACATCAAGCTATTACTGCTTACTGATCGCGACAAGAGATATGACGACAAAGGCTATTATTGTATGTATTCCAATTATTATTATTAAATAATATTAATTTGCCTTCGCTACTTCGTGCTCGTTAGATATTAGAGATGAACTCCTTTCAGCATGGGCGGTACCTTGTCATTGTTACACACACACACACACACTCACTCACACATATTCACCAGGCCATATCATACGAAATAGGACACCTGTGCAAACAGGCTGCTTAACACAGAACTTCTCTAAATAATATACAAGCATCAAGTCTATTTTATTAGCATACAAGAAGTTGTGCGCAAATGAGAAAGTCTTCATGGGTAAAGGTGACGTACGTACGTACGCAGGGCGCTAGATTCGTTAGCAAAACAAGAGTACAAAACGAATGAAAGACGTAGAAATGTCACGTTGACGATGTCGACGTCGGAATGAAGTGGAAAGAGGTATTTTGTGTCAAAAAATAAAATAGTAAATGGACAAAAAACACACCATAATAAAACAAGAATAGGAATATATGATGATGACGATCTAAATACGTGATGTGATAAGCGTGATCTATGACATTATAAATTGGTGCCCTGATACATGGTGTCTGTGTTTACCATAACATGTACCAGCTAATGATAGTAATTAGCAGAGCTATTACTAATGCTGTTATGTAGATTCGGCTAACAGTCCCTAAATTTCTACGGGGGAACTACTACTAGTTACGGAATAGTCGTAATAATTACAATTACGAATATAGCAGTAGTAATGATTGTAATAGAAACAGTAATAATTATAACCAATGTAGATGAATTAATAGAAACGAAAAATATAATTAGTCTGATTTCACGCTACTTTCAGTAGCTTTTTTACATACACACAATGAAAGTCTGCGGCGTTAGCGCACCGTGATGGGCGCATTTTTCTCTGTTTTTCAGATTTAATTATGTTTGTTTGTTTGTTTAATTTTGACTCCTGTAGTATGCTGTGGATCGCTATTAACTCCAATAAACTACTGCTTCTATAGTTCAATAGATAAGAGTAAGGTAGTAGACCAAGTAAAGTTTGCCAGGCTGCACAATACTACAATAACTATGGTAATGAATAATTAGATTATCAATAAAGATAAACTTACAATTGTATGTACATATGAGAATTATATATACTCAATATATATATATATATATATATATATATATATTCAATGGGCGTATATGGTGTTGGAAATGACGATGAGTAAAGCGTAGAAGAAATATGTGTCACCCAACAAAAATGCTCATTTACGTGTCATTAATATTAGCAACATTTAGCTAGAACAAGACGGAAGCAAACTGAAACGGAAGGAAAAACTTTAGTCAACCACCTTTATTATAGAAAACAGAGGTTAATAAAAAAAAATCAACCATACTACTAGAAAAAGATATCGTACTACGAGACCAGTTGTACGCAGATTAGTGTGATTCAATGAATTAATTCAAACACAATTAAGGGAAAAAATCATGTCACAAACTATTACTATGTACTTGATACAAATAGTAATGAGTCTTACGTAAAGTACCTAGGCCATTAGGCGATGTGTGAGAATTCTGTATAGTACTAAAGAATCAGTATCCTTTTCCTCCCCGTAATGCTCGAGAGGTGTCTAAGTTGTGTCAGTGCTCGAAGACTTCTAGCGACGCAATTATACCGATACTTTCTTTTTTAGATCGACAATGATCGCTTGTTCACAACATTATTAAATACTGCAAAAAAATATATAAAAAAAAATATTGCTTAATATTTTTTAGAAAATTAATGTTTCAGGAAAGTACGAAATTTAACTAAATCCAGCCTAAAAACCTTTTAGAAGCTACTTACAAGGTTGCGGGTTTATACATCATGCATATTGATGGCACAATAGCAGATCCTTGTTCTCTCTGAACCAATTTTTAATTATCAGCAGTTGCACTAATATATATTAGCATCAGGCAAAAGCAGGGTGAGTATGGAGGAGGCTGCTCGTCGTTTTATCCGACGTACATTCTAAAAGTGTGTAACCTATATCCAGGTTCAAGCGTCCCTTTGAGAGCTTAGCGTGTATTAGCGTTTACCTAAAGACCTATGTAAGTATATCAAATGACGGGTAAATAAAAGGTCATATTAAATACTTCGCTATCTGATTGAATATCTGAAAAAGTATAGGAAGTTCTATAATTTACAATATTACCCAAAAACCAATAGAAATGTTTGCTTTTTATCTTTTTTTTTTTTTTTCTACTTTGCCTTATTATTTAGGTACGCAAGTGGGATAAAACACGTTATAAAACATACTTGATTGTCACTATTCCACTCGTAGCAGAACTTTTTTTACCATTGCCATTGGAAAAGGACGAATTGAATTGACACATTTCCAGGTGAAATGTTCGCGACAGGCACCGTTTTATCGTAAACCTGACTGGTGTAAACGTAGTTCGGCTTTCCACCAGCGATATTATGCCATTGACACTGACGCAGTGGTTCGACAAGTAATTGTTAACGCTTCGTCCCCAATTTCACGCTCCTTTCACGCCGCTACATTACACCTGGCTACCCACGTCGCGTTTGCCGAGTTGAGCGCAACTTTTAATGGACGGCGGTGTATGCGCGACAATTAGGAAATACTTTTTCTATCGTCGAAAGCACTGGAGCTTCCTCCACGGTTCATCCTTCACGGCTTTCATAACACTCGCCTTTTTCGCGTCGGTTGATTTCTGTGGCGTTGCATATACATCTCTAACGAGCCATCAATCAAGTGGCTCTTGTCGCAGTCAAAGTAACGTTTCAACGATGGATCCCATAGTAGAGTAGTTGCCGAGAACGATATCCTTCGCAATTTTTCTGTTGCACATCATAGGTGCCCTTTTAACAGACATTTGAAAGACTTTTAGTTTCTCAGCAAGTGTGGAGCAGGAGACGTTACAAGAAATATATTGGACAAAGCAGTCAATAGACGGAAAACATGTCAATACCACGGCATATTCGATAGTGAAAATCAGATGAGTTCCTACGACGGAATTCAGATGGAAGTCACTACAACTTTCGACGTGTTCTAATATTAGGACTAATCAGGTTACTTCTATTGTTACCGAAATCTAGTAATTGAGAGTGTTCTCCAATACCTTATAATCGATACATATGGAATTATTGTTTCATTTGTGTTTTAATAGCCATTGTAAAATAATCGAGTAGTAGAGTCTCGGTATATTTGCCGATAAATTTCAAAGCAACAGAAGAACTTCGATCTTATTTGGCCGAATAGGTTGACTCTTAATCATTTTTTAAATGACTATTTCATCTTTCTCTATTGCTCATGTTACTGTCTTTTATTATTTTCATGTAGAAGCATTACTGTAGGAATACAGCGGTTTTCACGAATATCTGTACTCAGACAAATGTACCTAACATCGATGTGCCTACTAAACACCTTTATGCCAAAAAGATGTATGTTCATGCACGCATACAAAGTACTTAGATGAAATCCACGTATCTACATATTATGAATGTTAAATACATATTATGTATTTATATACATACATACGTACAAAATATTGTATATATTGACGTAAGCAACAATCACCCCTGCCCGTTATTGAAGTGAGCCCTTCACATCCTTAATTCAATACTTAATTCACAACGAGTAATTTTGCCGTATGCATTAGCGACGTTCTAGAGTTCTAGCAGCTCTCACCACGAAACGCCATGCCCACGGCATGCAGAGAGGCCGCGCACTCGTCTCAGAGCGCCGTCTGGTGGTTGAGGCCAAAAACTGCATGTCACCCTAGAACAGTAGAGGCCACCAGTCAAAACAGGAAAGCTGCGCCAGTTGTTCGTTAACCACAAACCGAATAGTACAACAACATCCAGTGGTAGCCAATCGTAGAAAACTGCGAAGGGTAACATTTTCGCGCCATTGACACTCTCACTGAAACGTATTCACTTACGCGCGGAGGAAGAAGTCCGTCGTTTTGTCTACCGTTGTACCTGCGTACTGTGGACTTCTCGCAGCAATCCGCGCCCTAGCACTTCAGCGTTCGGTAAAAGTGGAGGGGAGTTGTCACAGCACACCAGAAGCTCAGCCATTGACTGGAAGCCAAGCCTAGTTGATTCTAGCCGACGAGCTAGCCTCTCCGTGAGAACAACGTTAGCTTATACCACCGACATTTGCCTATAAGCCTTTCTTGGTCAGCGACGCTTCTTGGTAGGATTATTTACAGGCGTAACCGTCTGAGGTCAGTGACGACATCTCTACGTAGACATTAACTCAGGCGATCCATTCGAATAATAATAGCAACAGTAGTATTGGCAATAATAGTAGTTTCTTCTTTATGCCGACAGTACGGAACTAAGTAGGTTAGCGCTGAAGACTCGGTGCTAATGGAAAATTTACAACGGATTAAAAGGAAACATCAGTTTTAACAGTGGGATGGTGAATATCATCAAAAAAACAAACAGAATTTACAACGAGACACGTAAAATAAAGCCATCCTTACCGGATTATGTCATCTGTCAGTCTTGACTCTTGTTGGTGAGTACAATCGAAAGTAAGTTAGTGAAATGTAAGTTAGTGTACAACGTAATGGTAATTTGCATCACTTGTCAACTTATCACAACCGACTCATGGTATTGACGTCCTTGAAGTCCGTACGAGAGATAGAGGTGCCTGAAAACAAAAACAGCGTCCAGTAGAAATATCTAGCTAAAGAGAGGCGGAAAGATCGAGTGCACCAGGATAACTGTTGACGCGGCTCGCCAGCGCCACTTGTTTTCGATGAGTTCTGTGCTATTAGTGATAAAACACGTGAATAAGAAACTACATAGTCTCTAGTTATTAACGTTATTGTTTTCAAGCATAGAAATGCATACAGACAGGAGACAGTAATGTTCTCTGAAAGGCGGTTAATGATACGAACGAGATCTGTCTCATTCAATTGACAATCGCTACTCGCTAGAAGAGGTCGACATTATAGAACAGCATAGGACTATGTAAAGGAAAGTATGCAAGAGATTCTAATTAATATTACAAGGTCACCAGATTTTCAAAGAGAACTTTATTATTTTGATAAAACTGCCTTCTATTTTCATAATAAATCATTTATCGTCAATAGGGTAAACTTCAGCTGACATGATTTTCGAGATGCTTTGTTTGTTTGCGCGTTTGTTGAAATTAGATTGCTGCTATCAAATAATAGTTTTTCAATACAACCAGATATTAAAATTACGCTGCGGTTGTATGATGCCATAGAAATCAGGCAACAGGACTCGATAGGTCTACTTGGTTTATAAGGTTCGATATTAATGGGCTTTCGGTTGGTAACCGAAAGTGATACATTACCTTTAAATTACAGGTGGTGTAAAACGTTTTTACGCCATTGCTTTCCTGATAATTCGTCAAACGGATCAGAAAAATAGTGATATCGAACGTTGCCTACATTAGACTACTAAATTTTTTTTGCCTCTGCATAATTCGAACCCAATGTTTGCAACTACGAGATTTTTATCTGCGTTTTGATATATTTGATCGATTTAGTTTATTATATGATTAAGTTAATATTTGTTTCAACTGTGTCTTTGCGCTAAACAACCTAGATGCCGTCTATGCCTTTTGAGAAGATGGGAGATAAAGTAGTTCCCAAGATTGATGTCCTGCTGGAGAGGGACGGATACTTGAGGATGCACGAAAAAGAAATCCAACGCAGGTGAGATAGTATATAAATTCAGGAATTTTTATAATTGAGTCTAGAAGCTATTATCTAAAGAAGTATTTACCGATAAGTTGTACCAGGCGAAAATAACACCTCGAAAACAATATCCTCTCGACGATTTGCCTCAGGTATAAATGTTTCTTGGAAAAAAAGCAGTGGATTGATCAGGAAGGCGGTTATAGGAGATTTTGCTCGTCTTATAAGGAGTATGGCTTTCACATTGAGTCGGATGGCTCCCTGCGTGGTAACGAATGGGCGCCATGCGCTAAGACCTTATATCTCAAGGGTGAATTCAACAATTGGAACCAGACTTCACACCCATTCGAGAGTGCAGGTTTTGGTATGTTTTCTATCTTGTATCGACGTAAACCATTTCCAATTATGAAATATAACATAGTTGATATTCATACTATGAAACACAGACATCTGGAAACGGTCTATGGACGGATATCTAGGTCATTACTAGAAACCATGCTAAACTGAATAATTCACGTCAAGGACATTAAGAAATGTGGTTTACTCAGTTTGGTAGCAAACGCCCATTCATTGAGACATGACTTGCAGTAGAGAACACTCTCAAGGAACTTGTTTTTCTACCACGAATCATTGTTTCCTGTTTTGAGTTAAGCGTGAGCCGCGTCAGGCAGTGTCTGCACAACAAGTATCCCACGTAAAACTGATAGATATTTGTATGCATGTATTTTGTTTTGGGTCCGTCCTATAGGGAAATGGAAAATCCACGTCAAGTCTAAGGATGGCAGGCCCGTTGTGAAGCATCTTGACAAGCTAAAAATAGTCGTCCGCACGTTTGAGGATGAATTAACCGATCGCAATTCACCATGGGCAACTTATGTTCTTCAAGATGAAGGTAGCCATGCTTATCATCATCGGATCTACAATCCGGACAAAAAGTGCGTTTAATTAACGCGTTATTGCTGCGTCGTTGCACGAACAATTTTTATCTGAATACTTTTGGCGCGTTTCTGACACATTACAACGCTTGATATAGTATGCCATTGGCGTTTGATCTCATTCGTACTAAGAGGATAACGTATCATTTCCGAACCCAGATAAATTTAGGTTTGATTTCATAAAGTACATGAACATTACAATAACTCGCTTTATATTAGCTCACTTAGCCCACCTGAAGTTTAAGCGGCACCCGTTTCTGTATTTTGTCGTCTCTTAATGCACTAAAATAATAAACTATGACCTAAAGGGACTCCTACAGTCAACGTCAAATTAACAGCTGAGCGTAATTTCCCTAGGTACGAATTTAAGCATCCGCGACCCCCTGCCGGTAGCTCAGCCCTACGAATCTATGAAGCGCACATCGGAGTTGCTTCGCCTGAATATAAGGTGTGCATATTTAAATAGAGTTAGGGTAAACCATGGTTAGCTTCCATGTCTCTCTCTGATTCTCTTATATTACCCAATTCAATTGAATGCTCGATTGTTTTTGCGTGTTCTTCATACCACGCATGGAGTGAATTCTGAAATCGCATAGAGCACACATCGGCATAGAGTATAAATTAACTCTTCGTTTTCTAGACCTTCTCAAATCTAAACTTAGGTTTATCATTCTTAAAGTTAACATTGTTGCTTGTATCTATTCCAGCCGGCTACAACATGTGGCACTTAAGCTAAACAGAGCAAAAATTCTACTTGAACGTGTGGATGTTTAACTATTTATATTATCTTGCCCTAGGTGGCTTCGTACAACGAATTTCGCCTCAATACACTACCTCACATTGAGCGTCAGGGCTACAACACGATTCAGTTGATGGCTATTATGGAGCACGCATATTACGCTAGTTTCGGCTATCAGGTTAGTCTAATAATCACACAAGTATTAAGACGACTGCAGAAGTTAAGATTAAAAGAAGCAATGCGAATTTATTTAGCAAACAATTTAGTATAATAAGCCAGTACCTAGGGAAAGCTCATTCATTTATACTACAATGCAAACAATAATTACTAGGTGACAGCCTTCTTTGCTACCTCATCACGTTATGGTACCCCGTGTGAACTGAAAGAGCTTATTGACGAGGCCCACAAACGCGGAATAAAAGTTCTCCTAGATGTTGTGCATTCTCACGCGTCCAAGAACGTCATGGATGGACTTAACCAGTTCGATGGCACCGACGCATGCTATTTTCATGATGGCGGTATGTTTAATGAAAATGCTGATAGTGCTTCGTTAGAGAACACTGAATGCCTATTGAATTCGATTTTGCTATACGGTTGATTTTAGCGGGTAAGTTAGCAACTGGAAATCGCGCACTTTTTCAAATGTTTTGCGCATTTCGAAGACGATGCGTCCTGAAAGTTGAACGACAATGCATTTTAGTTTCTCGGAGTGGATTAGAAAGAAGTCATTCATTATGTACGGGGGCACGGATTGACATCCTTGAGAAAAGAGCCTTGTGACCATTGACGCTTGTGTCTATGTCTTTTCCCCATTATTTCAGGACGGGGTTTCCACGATCAGTGGAACAGTCGACTTTTCGACTACAATCAGCCCGAGGTAAGGCGTTATGAGAGAAACGTTCACCCCCCATCATGTCTAGGTATAGAATGGTCGTGACGGCAAATTTCAGTAAAATATTAAATGTTTGCACACTTTGACCGTTTTGAACGTGAATGCTTTTTCGCCTAGAAGGAAATGATTACCATGTAGCCTACGGCTATATCTGAATTCGAGAATGGAAGGTTGGAGGACTGACATACTGCTAAAAAAACAGGCAATCTTTTCGTACTTCGTATACTTCGATTTTGACCAACTTGAGGATGCGTAAATGCTGTCAGATAGTTCTGTTATGGCCATTGTAACCTGCCCTTGTAATTTCAGGTGCTACGATTCCTGCTCTCAAATCTTTACTACTATATAAACGAATTCCAATTTGACGGGTTTCGCTTTGATGGCGTTACGTCAATGTTGTATCATGACCACGGAATGGGAACTGGTTTTTCAGGTAAGTTAACAAATGCCTATCCGATGTACCCTTTGAAGAAATTTATTAGCGAAACACTCAATTATACGGGAATCTCACTTTCGATTGAGTAATATATATATATATATGCTTAGTCGACATTCATTTTGCAAATTTGTTCTCAGATATAACAACGTGAATTTCAATATATGCAAATAACAAGCACACAACAATCTTCGATAGTTGATTGTAAGAAACCTTAATTAAAAAAATGCCTATACACAGCCAGACACCTATTAACATGCAAAACTATTCTGTGTTGGTCTTATTATGGTGAACAAGTTTTGATGAGCTAAAATGGTAAAACAGTAGTTAATGTTTCCGTTGGCCTGTGCCCTGATTGCTATAGGAGACTACAACGAGTACTTCGGGATAAACACCGATACGGAATCGCTGACCTACCTTCAGCTGGCTAACGATATGATTCATCAACTTTTTCCGGATGCAATCACAATTGCGGAAGATGTTTCCGGGATGCCGGCTCTTTGTCGACCAGTCGCCGAAGGTGGGATCGGGTTCGATTACCGGTACGTCCTTTAGCGTCGACATCGACTGCCTCTGTTGATCGTACTAACAAGAATTATTCATGATAAAAAATAACCCTTATGTCGTTGAGCTACTATGCCGATGTCTTGTATCATAATCCGGTATCATTACCAGGAATTTTAGTATACAATTATTATTGGGGTTTCTCCTGCCGGCAAGTTGCGCACTACTGTCAGGCTAAGTGGCACTAGTAACAAAAACGTATGAAAAAGATAGCATTGACAGACAGTTAGTTCATATATATGTGATCTGACAAGTCAGCTCTGCAACGTTACAATGACAGGTTAGCAATGGCGATTCCCGACATGTGGATCAAAATTCTCAAGCACCAAAAGGACGAAGATTGGAATATGGGCGATATTGTCCATACGCTTACCAACCGGCGATGGTGTGAAAATACGATTGCCTATTGCGAGTCCCACGACCAGGTTAGAATCCGTTCGCGCAGATACGAGTCATGCGATTCATACGTTGCATGAATATTGTATCCTTGTTTTTGATTGCTCGAGATACAATTCGTGTTTCTACTGTTTGTTGCGAATTCCAAGCTAATTGCTAGAGCAAACATTTCAATATGAGATCTATCTGAATATAGTTAGATGGTCGATTCGGTCTGTTCTGATGTGTAAAAACAGACAAGTAGAAAGTTTATCATACTGCGCTTAGAGAGAGATAGATATCCATCGGAATAATATCCTCGAAATACGATCATGTTTTTATATAAGCGTATTGTTTGATTTTCAGGCCTTGGTTGGTGATAAAACGTTAGCGTTTTGGCTGATGGATAAAGAAATGTACACTAATATGAGTATTCTTACTCCACTCACACCAATTATCGATAGAGGTAAGTCATATTTGACATGCGCCAAACATTCATATGACAATCCTTTTGTAAGCTATAATAGCATACCAATATGCTACGCTGGAGCCAGTGGGTCGTATGCGGGGTTGCCGTTTACCTAAGTAAGAAGACAGCTCACTCAGCTTCAATATTAAATAATTTCGAAGACACTGCTGTGCCCTTTGTTATGTTTAGGTATTCAACTCCACAAATTGATCCGATTTATTACGCAATCACTTGGTGGCGAGGGGTGGCTAAACTTCATGGGCAATGAGTTCGGTCATCCGGAGTGGCTCGACTTTCCCCGTCAGGAAAACGGGTGGTCATACCATTACGCGCGAAGGCAGTTCAATCTCATCGAAGACAGGAACTTGAGGTGGGCTATTCAAATGTGAAGAATTATCGGCTCGCGATGCTGATATGATAATACCGAACACTCGAACTGTAACAGGTTTCTAATTTATGCAGGGAAAACATGCACGAAACTACAGTACCGAAGATACGAGCTATTGAAGCCATTGTAAAGTGCATAGACGCAACGATATTCAATACGTAAATCAACACTGTTGTTTTTCATTATAGCCCTTAATTCACACTTATTATTCGGAACACGACAAAATTGTCCAAACGGCGTCCAATGTAACAGATAATTCAAATTAGTCGCGTTTATTATATATATGACGGCGCAAAGACTATGAGATAGAAGATGAGTGTTTTCATTTCGCCTATGACTTGATGTGCAGATATCAGTTCTTGAACAATTGGGACCGGGCTCTCAACGAGTTGGACGATCGTTACAGTTTTATCAAAGCGCATCCTGGCTATGTTAGTTGTAAGCACGAAGGAGACAAGGTCTGTATAAACAATAGATTTCAGTAGCTCTAGTAATATATAATAATAATATAATATGTAATATATAATAAGAGTTTGAGGTGTTTTACTTTTATTGTCGCGTTATTTGCCGGATTCGAAAGCCACTTACAAGGGAACTAGAGTAACTGTGCGCTAAGTCCTTGCTTACAAAGTTGCTATGTTTGTTAAGTATGAGAGGATTTGGTTAGAATCGATCAATATAGGTTACACGAAGGTGTTGCGTTTGAGTGAATTAGGTGATCGCGTACGAACGTGCAGGCTTACTGTTCGTGGTTAACTTCCACCCAGGCCAGTCGTTTCCAGGATATCGCCTTGGAATCCAGGTTTTATCATAATTCACACATTAATAGTACTGATATAAATAACGCTTTTCTGTGTTTATATTTCTGATAAATGATTAATTGTGCACCCTAGTGTGATTGAATACAGACTATTTATATAAAGAGTGATCTTCGAATCGAAGATATACAGCGGGCTAACGGTATTTGACTGTTTCCTTTTTGTATTCTTTGGAGTACGGCTGTTTATTATAGGTGCGTAAATTACTTATCCTTAGGAAAAAACTTGTCATTAATCAGCTTATAGAAAACGTCGTAATTTTGGTAATCCGCCGAAGTTTGTGCTTGTATTATTTAATCATCGTTTTTTTACAGGAGCCGGGAATTTATCGCATCGTGTTATCCAGCGACGATACGGCCTTCCTGGGCCATGAACGTCTCGATAAAAATGTTTGTATCCAACCAGTTGGCTAGATGTAGCTCGACAGCTACGGAACTATTAAAATCTGACACACTGGAATTAACTCACTGGATACGTCGTCGGGTCATTAATGTGTCATAAGCTTTACTATCTACTGTTCGGTAATTTCCAGGCGGAGTATCATACGAAGCCTCACCCATGGGCTAATCGTGCAAACTCGATCGAAGTGTACATTCCGTCACGCTGTGCCCTCGTCTTCGCTAAAGCTTAATCCAGCAAGTGGATCTTCCTCGTCACTGAAAACTGCAAGCACGTGGTTTTCTTCTATTCCAAAGAGTACCAAGGACCAAATTGGGTAGATTTATTGAAATGCAGTCATCCCTACGCCAGTAATATTATTGTAATTGCCTTAAGTAAAACGATACATTCATGTAGCAATAAAAGTCCCTGGTGCAAACGATGACTGCTAACTTGTTTGAACTCCGAAAACAACATAGAGAATATCTTATACGACTACCTGCAGTTGCACCAAACGTGTGTGCAACAGCTATGAGGTGTTTTGCGGTCTATGCACAAACAAGTAAACACACGTCTGCGGTCCATGCAAATGAAAAATAGACAGTGCAATTTTGACCTAACCGAACATAAGATGCAACAAATATTTAGAGCGTAATAAAATTCTTTTGTTTTGTTGCGAGCATTTAATAAACGAAAAAAAAAGGAAAAATGGTTGTATTTTAACTCACGAAGTATTTTATTTAACGTGTCCGTGTTTATTCCAATGTTATGTATTCGCTAAAGGAACTTCTTCGACGCACTTGCGGGATTGATAGGCTTGTAAACAGGGTAAAAGGAAAGACGCATTCAGAGTACAATAGAGCGCCTAGCGCAATATGGCCTAGAGCGGCGTTTTTCTTTTTTATTTTCATTCTTAATATATTATTATTGGCATGATTTATTTCTATGTGAACAAATGCTCAGCATAACCCCTCTGATTATTAATATAATAAATAATAATATAATAATAATAATAGGAAGAATAGAACAGCTGAGACGAATGATATGAAATATAACCAGATGTAGGTTATAAATTCAGGTAATAACGAAGTGCTTCGACAAATGGTTCTCGGTCTATTTAAACAAACGCGAGGTAAAGTCACATAATCCCAAAAGGGGGTATCAGTGATGGTAGATGATTAAGCCTTGCTGTACGTAGCGTGTGGTGATGAAATTAACTGTGGTTGCTTCACGCCTTGGGTACGCACCGGTGCCAGGAAATCGGTAAGTAGCCGCCGTTATGGCTAGTGCATTTCAATGAAAATTGATGTGGTAGAATAACGGATCGGAACAATACGAGTTGTTGAAAACAAATGAGTTCAACACTTACGCCATTAAAAGATGCTAGCGCTTTTAACACGTAAGGCAAGCACTTGCAACGAAGTGATTTTGTCATTTTATTTATTATGCCGTGTTACTACGTGAATAGCATTCGTGAAAGACGGGAATCTGCCCAGTGAGTGGCATCTTGTAGCAAGTGTGGGGGGTGTACTGTAGCTATTTAAGAAGACATTTTCAAAGGCGTGGTATCGATCTTGGGTGCCTGATTTTGATATTCATTCATAACATGGTAAATAAATATTCTGACCTTCACCTTATCTGCCATAAAGCATATTTTTGTTATCGTAATATTAAGCTTGCCGTTTCTAAAGGCTAAAAGGTATGTATTGACATATCATACAGTTGTCCAAGGTATGCCAGTGTTTTGTTACGTAATAGCTAAAACTAACTAGCATAGGCTGAGTCTATTGCGTATTTTCCTTTTGGGAAATTTTAATACATGCATGAAGGAGAGGAACACTTCCGTGTTGACGTATTTGCAGTGTAAAAACTGTGTAAAAATATTGCGATGCAAACGTAAAAATAGAGACAATGTTATTTTCTAAATAATGTTTGTTTTTTTTTTACTGTATTGACCAAGGGGGACGGGAAGGGTAATCGTCAACGAAGAAAAACATTGATCATTCATGTAGACTTCTTTCTACGACATTCTACGATAAATTATTTACTTCTAGTGGTGTCGATCCTTATGCAGTACGAGTATATTTCTTAGGAGTGGATTATTTCTCGTGAAACTTAGGTGGTTACTGCAGACACGCTTACATGAATAGACTCCCTTTTACCCAGGCTTACACTCGAAACCATATACGGTGTGGTACAGGCCATATGACTGTTATACAGCTCCTAAGTCGTTCAGTACGTAATTCTTTCAGATATCTTCGTAGTTAGCTATGGATTTACACGATGTATAATCAAGAGTGCACTCAGCGCTTGCAACACAATCTTGTTGAGTATTGCATTGTGTTGACCGGCTAATTCAGCTCTGCGCAGTCAAGTTCAGCCACTGAGCTGAATAAATATCTGCAGTATATCGTCTGTCCCTAGGTCAAAAGATTACTGAACGTTTCTTGATGTAATACGTACCTTCCATGTCCAGGTTTCGTTTGTTGCAAATTCTCAAGTATATGCGGGAATGACTCAAATTGTTTCCCGTCATACCGTTCCATATTTTGGACCCCGTCTATCCGTCCGTTTTTCACTAGACTGTCGACGAGTGTTTCTACCCACCCCGCATACCCACATTTATTCATGACTGGCATAAGTAATAGAGCATGCTAATAAAGTTTTCCTGATCCAACTGTTTCACCTAATACGATTAGGTTCAGTAGTTTCTTTTGGAGTAATCACACAAAAAAGTTAAGTAGTTATGAGATTGCTCTTCTAATTTATGCATTCGCTCTTGTCCGTTAGTGACCAGAATGCCGTTTTTTTTTCGCAAAAAAACGGAGCATACGCCAATGTCTAAGAATGAGATTGGGAAATAAACGAGCCATGTCGTCTGCTTAAGACTGCGGCGCGGTGAATTGGTACGGACTGAAGAGCGAGACGTCAAAGAACGAGATGTCGTGCAAGTTATCGATTGCATGTTTTAACGACCAATTCAATGTACCTATTCGGAGGTCTACCTAAGGCATTAAATCGAACCGTTACTGTGTGGTTGTACAGGCGCCTCGAATATCGATACGGTCCGTCGTGGATTATTCTACGGTAATACTATGTCGATAATTTACGATATTTTTTATTAAAAGTAATATTTACTGGATAAACGGCGCACGCGACAGGTGAGCACGTTCTCAACATCAGTCAAAATGAACGTCAGTAACAGATACATATGAAACACAGATGCATACATGTATTCGTGTAAGTTCGTGCATTTCGGGTATCATTAGTGCACAAGGATATTTCCAGAACTCAGTAAGTGGAAATCGTATCGCTGGTGTACCGTTCAAAAGCGAGTTGAATAGTCTTCATAGCTTACAATGCAAGCAGTCGTAAGTATCTAATTGGTCTTTCAGTTGTGTTTAGGTCATAACCTTTGCCTAGGACATAATATTTATAGCATTGTGCAGTGTAGAGGCATATTAGATTTCCAACGATTTGGCTAAAGTTATCAACCGTCGTTAATCTCAGGGGCTCTTGGATCTCCACATAAATCCAACAAAAAATGATTAAGATTAAGGGAGGCTGGACTTTCTTCGTAAACTATTGTTTTTTTGCTTTCCGCGTTTCAAGCATACTCACATTGCGTCGTTTCACGGGACATCATCATCACCATATAGTTCCCATCCTGTTTTTATTGCTTTTATTGATCCATGCTGTGATTATCGTACCGTGTATTTCGGACAAAACATCTGTAAGCCGATCAATCGCCGAAGAAAAGCGGACTGGGAAGTACTCCAGCCAATTTCGGCACTTGAAGAAGCATTTTGGAAAACGAATGTATACACAAGTCGTCCATTTGTAATAAAAAAATCACTTGGCGTTTATTTGAAGATTTCCACAACATGAATCTTCCTCGTTTAGGACGAGGGATTATGTGGGTGGCTAAAGGACATACCCAGTTCATTCCAAATATTTTCGTTTCCAAGCCAACATTTTATTTTTTAACAAGACGCTTTTAAACATTTGTTTTAATAAACTAACACAGGAATAGATGAGGTGCAGTAATCTCTAAAGTTTTTATATGAGGTCAAAATCAAATGACATAACATGATGCTTGCACAAACATTAGTCCACGACTATTGATGATATATCACTTGAAACGAACTTCCCATTTTATAGCGACGACCGCAGCTGCAATTCAACGAATCACGATGGCCGATCATGTGCGAACATTATTGTTCGCTGTTTTGTCAAGGAACGGGGACCGGCCTCTGACGCTTGCACAGCTCGAGGCAGAGTACAAGGAGCTCGAGGGAAAGTTTATACCGGCGGAGGAACTGGGATATGCGAACGCTCTATCACTCTTGCAGAGCATGGATAACGTGCACGTGTTTCAAACAAACGGTCGGACTTTTGTTAAGGCTGAGGACTGCGCTGACACTCGACACGTCGTCCAGCTAATAAATGCCCAAAAGAAAAATCCCGTTAAACAGGTACAGCACTAGAAATTCTTGATAATATGTACGATGTGGGTAATAGTAGAGTAGCAAGGCATGCGATCATACAGTACGTGTTACTGAGCTGAGAAATGACAGAATCGTTGATAAATTCATAACACTGTGTTCAGCCATTTGCGAGAAATTAATAGAATTGAACAACACTGAATAGCTATAATCATTTGCTTGCCATGAACAACGTGTCGCGCAAAGCGTGAGAGTCGGCAAAAAAGAATGGACCTTTACCCTACTTTTTTGTTTTTTTCTGTAGTCACCTTGGACTATCCCGCGAAACGTGGAAGATAACATATTGACGATAATTGCGGTTAGCCCAAATGAATGCTTAATGCTTTCGCAGCTGATGAGCCAATACATTCACTTCTATCAGACCAAGCTACCGGCACCCCGTGGCCATCTACTCGCTTGGCTTGCTACCGCAACAAAATTCGTGGTGACGAATGATACTGGAAAAAGCCACGTCCTTCAGCCGATACCCGACGTCGACGTTAAACCGTTTCGATTTATGGGGCAGCGACTTCAGGCTCAGATGTCACGGATACAGCATCGGCCGCCTCCACAGTCGACAGTAGCCCCAAGAATTATGCCAGCACGTCTGCAACGAAAAAAGACAGACTGGCCAATCACTCCTCGATTACCCTCAGTCGATCAAAATACGACAGAACCTGAAAAAGAACTGACGATAGCGATCCAGAAGCCTATAGACAACAAAACCGTCACGCTAAGCCCGCCTGCGGCTAAAAAGGAAGTCGACAAAGAGCCAAAGACAACTGTACCCTCGTTTGATAAAGCGTTTTATACTGATGCAAGTACAGAAGATGGAAATTCCTGTCCTCCTTTGGCTCCCTCAGTCCAAAATGAGCCATCAGATCCCCCAACAAAACCACAACGTCCCTACATGGTACGTCCCGCGTGCTTCGAACATGCTAGGCTAGAAACAGAAGAGAACCGAGAGCAGCTTCATAATAGACAGCTGCCTAAAACGTCGCGACCAGAGAGCACATGCTTTTCTACGAACCCACTGGCATCAGTGCCATCATCGTGCAACATTACCGTGACCTTGCCCACTTCAACCCAGCCACTTAACGCTTCATGTGATTTTTCAAGACGAACTTCTAGTTTAGTTGCCAACACAGTTCGTCGTGAGGTAGTTCGCGCCGTTTCACTAAATGAAAGGTTGGGTCGTCTGAAACTCGATTCATCCGCAGAAGGTTCCATGGAGAGTAAAGGTGATTTAACAGATGAAGCAAGTGTTTCCATTGAGCAAACTCAAATGTGGCCTATCAATCCCCTGGATAGTGCTGAGACCTCTATTATCAAAGAATGGCAAAATCATTCTCAACCTCCCGCAGTTATATCTAGTAAACCAAGTGATAACGTTTTACCGAGCGTGCCGAATGATTTGGTTGCCTCCACATCAACAGGGACACAGCCCGATACGCTTCCGCAGTGGATTGTTGACTGGGCAATAAAGTCTAAAGTAGCCCTTAGTAGTACCCACCTAGCGCAGCAGATAAACCCAACCAGATGTTTGATAGGCACAACATCTGACCCAGACGGTGGCGCTGTAGTAGAACAGGTTGAGTCGGTGCTTTCTTCTACTCCAGCTTCTCTGATAAACCTAGTAACTTCGTTATCTTTATCTTCGACAAGTTCTACAGTTTCGAAACCTGCAAATGTGAGCAGTGATCCGCCGTCCCTAGTATTTAGAGTTGATTGCACAGAGCAGGTTGCTCATGAGGAAGATGCCCGACCCGTGAAACAGATGCTCAATGTCCCACTTGCACAAGTCGAAAAAGGGCAGCTAGAGCAGGTTGCTCATGAGGAAGATGCCCGACCCGTGAAACAGATGCTCGATGTCCCACTTGCACAAGTCGAAAAAGGGCAGCTAGTTTTGTCACATAGTAATAAGCCTGTGCAAGAAATATTAGGGCTTTCGCTTGAGAAATTCCTCAATCTAGTTTCTCTCTTGCGAGAAAATCCGCCAGTGCCCGAAACACTTATAGCCGACTTATACTGGGCAGCCTACAACGAGGAGCTCTTTAGTAAAGATAGTTGTGATGAACTTATTAAGTCTTTGATAGATCAGGGGGTTCTAGTTATTGAACTGGGTGCCACCGTAACTATAGCGGCACACATGCTACCCGCAGCAGGATACCTCATGAGAGTGAAATTGAAACAAGATGTACTTCTACACTTAGAGAAGGCGTATGGCAAAGTGGAAGGCTCAGACAGCTTTGGGTTTAAGCTAATACCAATAAGAAAGTGCGTTGATGTGTCAGCCTTAATACGTGTAAACGACGAAGTCTTGCAGGATCAACCCTACATCTGTATGTAATCCCTCGTACTCATAAGTTTTTGTATTTTGTGAACATGTATTAAATGTATTAAATCTTCTATGCTCACTATTGTGAAGCTTAGGCAACCGATCTGCTAGAGTCGGGATTTTTTTTAGGTGGCTCTTAAAACTTTATGCTTTGAATACATTGATGTAGGACTTTACTTTGTTTTTCTAAAATATTCATATCGGTGTGCCCGTGAGCATTGTTCAACTCTGCGCAGGCGTTTATCGAGATAATTTTTGAAAACAATTTAGCGTGTTCTACATTTGCTGCATTAGTGCCGTATGATCGTTGTTAGCATAAGAATAGCTTTTTCCTCTAGCGACTTCAGGCTTTTCATGCTTTATTACTATCCGGTGGAAACGTCCTCCACTTTGTAAAAACACATCGGGGAGGCATTTTCAGTCAGCTGAAATTGGTTGTCGTTTGTTAAAAGCTTAAGAGAATATTTAATTTAAGCTACTAAATTAATAAGCTACTAACAGCTGACACAAAACTCAAGAATAAAAATGCAGCTTCCAAATAAACAACACTAGAATATTTGTGAATTCCAGGTGTGAAACAGAACCAGCAAGACGTCGTTGTCGCTATACAACGCGTTAGTTCTCCTGCAGCAACTGGTTGCTTTTGGCAAGTACGCACCGAGGCTGGGGCTTACAAAATTGTGCATGAGAAGTTCTTGTTTAAGCTCGAGGGCAGTGGTATCGTGGCTCCTGCAGATCCACTGAACGCTTGGGCTGCTGGAAAAAGACCTGCAAATGGAGATACTGTTTCTGTGAAGGTAAAATCAAGTTTTCATCGAACTGCGTACGACGTGTTGTCGTGCTTCTACTAAATGTATTTGCTGTATGCACACATGACATTAACGTAATCTAATATTTTATGCAATTGAACTAATGATAGACGATATTTGCTCATTCCTACATAACAAAAATTCGTTGCATTACACGACACCGATGTATGGTCTACTTATAAAAAAAAATGCCAATCAGCATAGATATGTTCTACAGCTGCCAAGTGTAGCAGGGATTCATTATTCATCCATTAACTACATAAAGTTATGTAGTTAAACATGATATTGCACACCTTTGTAACCGCCATGCGCCGTGACCTCTTCATATGTCCATCAGATATTGAAGCGTACCGCTAACGGACTCGCGATTTGTTGTCTTGCCGGCGAACAATTGTACTCGGTATATGTGCTTCGCAATCCACCCTCAACATCGCTAATCCCGGTTAGTGTTTTGCGCTGGGGCGGCCAATCTTACCTGCTGGACTTCAGCGCGACTGCGCTTGGCGTTGAAACCCAAGGCAGAATTCCCCTTCGGTGTATGAAGTACGCCGACGTCCTCATCGAGTTTATCGGACGGCATGGCATCAGCCCTAATTCATACGTCGTGAGCGTACTTGATGTGATCGAAGTACTCGCACAGCGAGGAGTAGATGAGGGTCTCATTACAGATTTGATTCGCGTATAGGTAATGAATAGATTATTATCGCTAGTATCGTTGCGTGTTTCTAAAATGTAGCAAAGTTTAGGTAAAAATGAATTATTGAAAATCGCTAAGCCGTGTCCTTTGTTTACAGTAACTAATAGACGAATAAAATAAATGGTTCATATAGCTTTTGTTATACATCATAGATACATGTTACACATCACATGCAAGAAAAGCATGTACGTATTTGCGTTTAAATGATGATGGTGCAATTTATCTAACCATATAGAAACGTATTGTAGCGGTTATAAAAATAAAAAATTTGTGTAAATAAGCCATGATGATGATGATGATGTAATTTATCTAACCATATAGAAACGTGCTGTAGTGATTATAAAAATAAATGAATATTGTGTAATTTAAGCCATGATTATTAAAAATTTCTTCTCATTTATTAATAAATAACCAGGGTGACTGACATATATTCAAATTCCTAACCCGTGTGCATATCCAAAATTTATTTTATGATTACTGGCATTTTTCTTCGATCGAATTTTCATTATTATACATGGGTAGCTTCTATATTCCGTACCAAAACCTAGTGATACAATTCCTATAGTAACTGCTAATTCCTATTCATACTGTGTGTGTGTGTGTGTGTGTGTGGATCCTTGAAAGTGTTATTCTTTGCAGTTCAACCGCTTCCAGAAGATTTGCAAGCGGTTGAACTGACCGCTTTCGCAAAGGTAAGATGCCCTTTTTCACGTTCTACACATCATCTGGATTGGAGTATTGGTTTTGAAATAAGTTGTGATGATGGTATTCTCACTGATCACCGATGAGGCTCAAGCGCTTTTCCTCGTTGATTTGTGTGTACGACGGGTACTATATATAAAGTACCCTTAGCGGGCCAAGAGGTACTTCTCTTAACATTTAAACGGTCACGTTTGGTGATTTGGAGGACAGCGTAGTGAGGAATCATATCAACCGTGTTCTACTGCATTGGCGATCTGTACAATTTTGCCAACGTACGTATAGTATATTCCTGAATGTATCAAATTTTTAATGTTTTAGTCTACCAGTTAAAAGCTGCTCTTCCCATCACATACAGGCGCCACTTCTAAATAAATGTTTCTCGGATTAGAAACAATGCCAAAATTCGGGGTGCTTTAATAACAACATTAAAAAAGTGTTGCACCACTACTCCAACTTTATTATTCAATAAAGGTTTCATCTGCGTATTTGGATTTATTTTAATGATCTCCTAAGAAACACCAGCAAAATAGCCAAAAAAACAGAAACGCCTCGAAAGATAAGCATCGTAATTGCAAGCAAGAAATCACATGACTGAAAAGAACCTTGCATGCCAATATTACGTCGTCGCGACCGTCAGTTTGTTGAAACATGGGCGCTTATAGCACAGAGAATTACAGCTGTTAATTTTAAAACAGTGTAACTTACAGCCACATTTCCTACTACAAAATTTTCTTCCGGAATGTTTCCGAGAAACACAAGCAAAAGCTGCAGTAGACGAACAATGACATTTATGTAGGAGTAATGTGCTAAAAACCGAAAATAAAATGTACATATAGAAGGCTTCATATCATGTCAAGTAATAAAAAAAAAACTAAACTATCAATGCAATTTCTCCGCAATGACATTAGATATTTGCTGGTTTAGAAAACAAACGCTTTGATTTTATTCTCTGTAATGTATTAGAGTAAAATGACATTTCGCAGCTACCTTAAGCTTATCGCGAGCCTAACACAAGCTACATCGGCCATTTCCTCATTGATGCAAAACGCTAAACTGTAGGCTTTCGTAAAAATGATAAATTACGTTTACCGCCAAATGAGTGTATGTAGATCCATAGAATGACAACAGGCATGAATTTTAGCTGAGTTCGTAACGCAAATGATATAGCACCACTATAGTAATATCATCTTTCATGTTGCAACATACCACAAGCATATCCATTATTATTCTCTTTTTGAAGCTTGAACGAAAGTCGTCTTTTAACAAATATTTCATCTTCTCAGTCAGTTTTCTTCATCTTCTGTTGACCATGAGTCTTCATCATCCTCGTCTTCACTCTGTATTTCTTTCAAGTCTTCAAGAAGTTCTTCAATATGGTTCATCATACCCTCATCATCGCATCCATATGCGGAACCTACCTACATACGAACATAAATTTATGTGGGGGTAATTAAATAAGGTCGTTGTGATAGCTTAGTAGGTAAGGTATCTGCCTGCTAATCTTAGGGGCACGATGTGGTCTAGGTTTGAATTCGGGTACAGACAAGCTTTATCTCGCGCTGAGCGTCACTGGTCTAATGGAACGCCTAACGTCGATAACAAACGTAAAACTCGAAATATAGTGGTAGAGTAAGCAAGAAAATCATTCCATGCGTATCACTGGTTATCGATGTATAGTGATTCCTCAATTAAAACTAACGCAGCTTTTCATACTCCGCACCTCAAAACTGAATTGTAAGTTGGTCAATTCGTTTCGTCAAGCACAAATTATTTTCACCATATAAAATTGGAAATTGACGAGTAAAAGTAAGCAAAGCAAGAGTCTTTTTGTCAAAAATTAGATTTGCCCACTTACCAGTGAACTACTACACACTAGTTAGATGATTAGAGTCACACTAGTCATATTAAAATAAAATGCTTTTACCATGAAATACATTGTTGTATGGTTACTGAAATTTGTTGGTCATGACTTTTATCAGCAGTGAGGTACAACTTTTTAAACCGTAATTTATGGTGAATAATTAATAAGGTGATTTTTTCAACAAACCTTGCTGGCCTTCTTGAGATAGAATTTGGCGGTTGGAAGATAGTGATCCATTCTAAGGAAATTTGTCCATCCAAGCAGATACCACACATCGACGCAATTCTCGTCTTCCAACACGAGCCCATCAAGTATAGTGGTCGCTTCTGTAAACAGCTCCAAGTCTAGCAAAAGCTTTACAGCAGACAGACGAACGTTGAATGGCGGTACCTGCTTGAGCCAAGAAAGCCGAATTCATTTTATTAGGATGAGTAACTCAAAAAACGAACACTTATTTGTTTCTACTAGTTTACTTGAATTAGTGGATTTGTTATATTACGGCGCCACTACTTATCATCGCTTGCTGCAAAAAACGTATTCATCGGACGAAAACTGCTTAGTATGTTTGGAAGAAAAAAAATAACTTTGTTTCCACCAATGGCGAATTATGCAAACGCTAGATGTCCTCTTACTTATTACTTATGACAACAAATTTCGAAAATAAATGATATAAATAAAAGGGCAAACTCGCATCTATGGTGTGACCATGTACAACTCATCTAATAGCGACGGGCTCTCTCTTACCTCATCAGCGTCTTCAAGGCCGCCTTCTACGGACCTTTCGAAGGCAGGAAGCCACATGTCAAGAGATCGTTTTATCTCACGTGTAGCGTCTTCAAATTCTCCTTTAATCAAATGGTACGACGCCTTTGCCTGAACGGCCTCTGGATTTGACGGATCCAGTTCAAGTGCCTTTTCTATTGATGCAACAACTCTTTCCTCGGCGTTAGGCTCATCACATAAATCTGCCGGTACGATCAAATAGATTATGAAGAAGAAAAACATGCCAAATAACAGCCTGAACTAAAAAATATTATTAACAGCCCTTACAATTCATACCTTTCTCAATAATAAAGTGCGGGAGTGAAGTAATGAAATATACTCACCGCGTTTCTACATTTATTATACCTCTGTAATTTTGTATAATTTTAAAATTAACAAAAATTTTAGTTTTTACCAAAATGGAAACCAATATTCTAAGTGAATTTTCAGCTCATCGATGAATGCTTAATTCTTTACCTGTGGTAAATAATTCCGAAATGCAAACATACGCATTTGAAAGCTTTCTGCTCGTGAATTTCCTTGCATTGTTCGTGTTTTCGGAAGCCCCTCCTTCCATATCTTCATCCATGGCGACGGGTTCGCTGGCTAATTCACGTTCCAACAGTTCTAAAACAGATGTTCGTATAAACCATTATCAATTGTGCATGAATATACAATCAAAGAATCTTATATAACCTGTACAACGTACCGACTAAACTGTATACCACGTTCATCGTTGCTATGTTACTGAATTGATATTATAATTAGGAATACAAATCGATAACTGTGCAATAATCATAATAGTAGACAATCCACTCACCGACAGCTTTTTCTAGACAACAAAGGCTGTCTTTGCCTTCTTCAAGTTCTCCGAGGGTCAGCCATTTTTCTGGCTGAGAATCTGGCGCCAACTCACAGCTTTGTTTCAGATACTTAGCAAAAACCAAGTTCAATTTTAACACGTAATTTTAAGTCAGTTAACACGAGCATACTATAAATTATAAAAAAATTTGCAACCCTAGCACTAATAATTTTTCACTAGTATCTATAACGGCAATAAGGATTACTATAGGAAACGTGTTATATACATTACATGCAACAAAAGCAATCTATGAAGCCTAACAATGTTGATCTTCTGTTCACATTTGTTAGGATTGTAGAAATCCTTTAGACATCGTAGTACATCGGTTATGAAGCACATTAGCCTGCTGCAGTGGAGGAAGTGCATATACAGACTGTGTCTGATAAAACAAAAGACGATGCAAAATTCATTCCTTTTATGTTTGCGTTACGGAGTTCAAGTGAAAAATATGCGTAAGTAGTTCATAAGGAAAACTATGATCAGATCGCCAACATGATCCGGACGGCTCGGCTGAGAAATAGACACATACGACCTGGTACGAAGCCACTAACTAAAATTCGTCGGATCATGTTACCAGAGTAATTTAAAACATTCCGTCATGGTTAAAGGGTCCTCTAGAATCCTTTGATATTTGAAGCAAGCTTAATAAAACAACGTGTGGCATTCGTACAGTAAACTAAGTATCAACGATCTATTGCTATTTGTCTATCTACTTGATCTATTGCCAATGAATGCATAGACAGTTGTAATAAAGTATCAGTGATTATTAGATACCTGTTTAGCCTCTTGTGGTCGCGCCAACTCTAAAAGGCAACTGGCCGTACGGAACATGACATTCGGATTAGCTTTTTTTTTGAGGGATGCAATAAAATGTTTGTGGGCTGCGCTTAACTGACCTTGCTCAAAAAACTGCTTGCCGATTTCGTCTAACTCCTCTGCCGATTTTCCATAAACCTCAGATTCATGCCTCAATTCCACCTGTTTCCTTCTAGCTACTTTCTGAAACTTTCGTGCCTGTGTGGCTATACTTGTTCTCTCCATCGTCAGAAGTGCTTATGGAGAGCGAGGCCCAACTTCTAACCTTCTGTCACACCGGCAAGCCTGTATTTGTCAAGATAACACCACAGGACCACTTATTTAGTACTCTCGCAAACTTTTGCTCGAAAAATACAGACAGTTCGCTCGTTTTTACCAGCTCTAACGTTGCTGTTGTCGAAACAGCGATCCCTGAATAACACCAAAACATGATCACGTGGTCCTCGACAGAGGCAGCGAATGGCGCCGAATTTCAAATAATTGGATATTCTTATAAACTCTGCTGTCCAATTACTTGCTTGTATATCTAATCGTTCTGCTTTTGGGCGACGTGGTAAAAGCTAGACTTCCGTGCGCTGTCATATGATTTTGATGTCATCATGGCCAGCTAATGTTCGGCGAAGCGGCGCCCCCTGGTGGTCTGAGCAGGTACTTTTCGCAATGCGTTGTGTGAGTGTTCAGACTGACGTTGTGTAAGAGATTGCGCTTGTTTGTGTGCGGCGTCTGTCGCTCCGTCTGTCTGTGCGCCTCGTCAGTAAATCGTAGATGTGAGTGAATGGGCGAGTGAGTCAGTAATGACAGCGGGGAGCGTTTGCGGAGCACTCAAGCTTTGCTGTACTGGCCCATAAAGGTGCAGTGCACTGTCAGAAGACCGGACGGAACGAGTCTGCGAGGCTAACCGTCATCACGGCCATAGTGGAGTTGCGTGTTGCCAGTGATACCAGCGGCTGGCGCTGCTGGAGCAGGTCTGGCAGAAAACAAGTTACCACTGTAATATAGCTAAAGCTGAAGGCGGTGTCAGTAGCAGTGTGAGTCCCGGAAACAACCATCACTTAACTGTGCTTCACTGTACTCACTGTAGACCCATTTATTTTTGTGTTTTACATGGTAGGGCAGCCAAAGCGGCAAAGAGCAACGCAACGATGGCCAAAACGAAGAAATAAGTGATTCGTGACGAGGTGTATCTGTAATGCAGTAAACTAGCTAGGGGAGAAAGGTGAAGAAGTTACGTGTCAGCATGAAAAACTAGATCAATGTAAAAGTAGTGGACAATAATAAGAACGCATTGGATAACTATTGTGACGAACTATTTATGTGAATCGATGAAAATAATAGCAACAGAACGTTCAGCACAAATTACTTTGATAAAAAGTAGAAACGTTCCTTTAAGAATAGAGGACCAACAAAGTTATCCACGGAAGTAGAAGAGCTTCAAGAAACGAATAGAGTGAAAATGGCGGTGTTACTGTCGCGGTTTCAGAAATGGATTGTCCACATTGTGGTTCTGCTATGTGGCCTCTCGTTAATTTCACTCCAAGGTGGCCTGTTACCAGGACCTAACGTCTGTATAAAGACGGTTACGAAGCGTCACAATGTTAGCCGGGCGGTCAAAGTTCCCTATGAAGTAAAAACGTACACGTTCTGCGTGCGCATTCGTTGCGACAAGACTCGAACCGAATATTTTGTCTCGTACCGCACGGTAAATAACTCAGATTTAGGCACATCCTAATATTATATATTACATCGCTTATACAATAAATACAAGCCTGTTACAAGTTGTCTTAACCTATTTGACTCACGCTTTCAACAGGAGAAAGTCATAGCACTTTTTAGTATTTGAATGTGTGTTGGCAACGTAATTAATGATTTCTGGTCGAAAATGTGCTTGTAGTTGTGCTACCCTCAGCACAAAACAAAAGAATTGATCAAACCTCACCCCGAGAACGTCTTTTTGGCATTTATTGTATTTTCAACGTTTCGTTGCACCGCGGGTTCGTTCCGCTACCGTAATTCGACCTGAGGCCCAAATAGAACCTGCATTTCTTTCGCCACGTCGAACTTGTAATGGCATATATCCAGCTATCTTGCATTAGGCGTATTGGTAGCAGCTAGAACGTAAAAAGTCTTAATCATAAAATCGGTAAAATCGTGACTTTTGTGCCATGGTTGTTTATTTTATAGTCAGCTATGTGCATACGTGTCCATACAAGAGGAAGCGAAAAAATCGAATGGGAATCTTGGCGCACTGTGGGAGCAGCAACCGGAAGATCGTCTTTGAACTATGTCCATCTGACTAGTCAGGAGACCAGCATGCTTATTATTCGTTGAAATAGTCGGTGATTATGAACGCACTGTTTTTGCTCAAGTACTGGTAAGGAGTGCGACTAAAAAATCACAAAGATAACAGTCTTGCCCGTGCCGTAGTGCTCATAGATGCCTTTGATCATGATCTCATGATGCCTTTAATTTGCGCGAGTTGTGACCTCAACTGTATGTGCTTCTTGCCTTGCTATTTAATTACGTCGGCATTATAAAATTCAAACAAAGACAGTTGACCAGCTTACAGCCCTAAGAACAGAAAAAAACCTAATCATTACTAAAAAAACAAAGACCATCTTAGAATTATCCGTGCTAGACATGCGCCTAAAAAAATTCGAAGCTGGCCTATGCCGTCGACAGGCGCAGATAGATTCACATCAACACTTACTGTTAATTACGTTGCATTTATTCACTAGAAGAAAACTAGTTGCCACATATGAGGTCAACATTTCTCAAAAGAAACACAAAACCTCTTTTCTAAACAGTTATCTAATTTTTAGTATTCGACAGTTCGACTAATGGCCTATAGATTGCGGACAACAAATGGGCCATTGTAGAACAACCATGCAACGTATGTACATATAATGCCGACTCAGATATATATCTAGTACAGGAGTCCACTAGCGATTTTTCTTTGAGGAACGAATAAAAAGCTTGAGCGTTAACGGTGTCAGTATCGAAACTTGTCCGCTTGTATTTGCCTTATGGTCGAAGTGACCGCAAATACATACGCAGGAAGATAGCAAAAGCCAAATGAGACGCGGTAACCAAGCATGGAACAGTTTAGAACAAAATGAGTGAATGGGCTTGCTAACTCTGTATGATGTGCGCGTCGGACACTTGTTAATACGCGCTAATGTATCTCTGGCAATTGCTTCTAATAATGACGAACGAATTGTCAAGTAGAAGCGTTACTATCTAGAAACAGCTAGTGTTTTCGAAAGTAATCGTTACGAGACAGTGAAGAAATGTCATACTGTAATCGACAGCTACAACCATACTTCGATATTAAGTTTCCTGGAGCAATCAAACGCCGACGAAGAGGCACTTCGCATAATTTCGAATCAATCCAAACAGTTCCAAACAGTACAAAGACATTTCAACATAACTCTTGCGGTAAAAAGGTATCAGATTATGAGAGAATTTTTAGCTGATTAATTATTGATAATTAGCTGATTTTTCGGTTCACTTCTGCAGCAAACACCTGGCGATATCGGTGTTGTCGTTCTGTTTAGTTCTAACTAGTAACCACAATCCATGTACATATACTAACGCTCAATAATTGTTCTCAGCATAGTCATCAGGAACGAAAATAACTCTTTATCTAGATGTGCGAACCGTAAATTTGTCTATAAATTATAAAGCGGTAGTTACAGGCACGTGGACACGACTGCAATAGCATGTGGCACCAAATGAATCGGACTCAACGCGATCGACAATATACTTACTACCTCTAGCAGAACAGACAAAAAAAATTAGATTTCTGTTTTGTTGTGGACGCAACTGACTCAGATTAAACAATCTTTAGAAAGTATACATATATATATATATATATATATATATACATATATATATATGGTGATGAATTGAACAAACATGTCGGCGACATTTTGACATATGTTAAAAGTGTCGTTTCTGATGATGCAAGATACGTTCTTAGTTTGGTAGTTTGGAGTTTCTGTCACGGAAGATTCACTGTCTTAATTTAAGAGCGGTGTGTAGCTGACTAGAAAATTGCTAATGATTGACTATTGATACGCGGAGATAATTTTCTATATGAAAAATCTTGATGTTTCGTTACAAGGTTAGTTTTTCTTAACTGTACGTTTTTTTTTTATAGTTCGATGCGACAGGTCCATTCATCTGTATCCATGTTGACCTGGGTACCGCACGATCAAATACGGCTTTCAAAACAAGAACTGGATCTCTTCAATGGCACGTTGCGTGCATAGTAAGCGGATTGTATGCTGATCCTTAGGATGGCACTCCAGTCTGTTAGCGCCTATCAAACGGTGTTTGCGAAATCCGACATAATAGCAATGGCGTAATATTGGTATCATTCGTTCAATCGAAGATATCTCTGTGTTGGAAGCCGGTGGCTCGTATGCAGTTAGATGACGTTTTAAACGAATTGAATGCTAGCCAACTTTGTTTCTAGATCAAACAAAGTACGCTAAACAATAACGTCAACCCGAAGCGGCATTTGTTTTGGTAGCAACTATGGTTCAAATCAAACAGGAGATCGGTTCCGCGATTTTTTAGCAAATTTAAAAAGAGGCACGTTAAGTTCTAGACTCAATCACTTCAAACAGCCGTATATGTACTCGATAAAAGACTGGCCACTTTTCCTGGAATAGCTATAACTGCTATTAAGGAATGGGGAGAAGGCAGATAATGTTCGCAATAATACGCGTTTTGGAACATCACCACCGGTTGAAGGGGGGACTCAGTTGATTGGCAAGCTCTACGACGAGGAGAGTTCATATGTTAACGATACGTCTAAAGTTGATCCTATAACTTTAGATGTATAGGAACTTAAATTAATCAACTTTACTTAATGTTCACCTAACTATTCACAGCGTTAGACTCTCAAAAGTAAACATTATGAGAGCACTGAGTGGAAGTATTCGATTTTGTTGACTGACAAATCGCACAGTCTCAAATATCGAACCAAATGAATGGTTTTACCCGTGTAGATAGTTTCATTTGCTATTCTGTGATTACGCAAGCTATGCTATGCTACGTTACGGCGCAGTAGGACAGCATCATCTGTGGAAAATTTTTTTAGCCGTTTTTTTCTATGCCGGCTTAATGTTCGATAATATGAGCAAATTGTATGTTTTGCAGAACGAAGGTTTTTTGCCAGCCAAGGCCTTCTTGTTTCTTATGACCTGTCAGGCTGCAGGCCATTTGGTACTTATGTGATGAATGGTACCGGGGAAAGCTGTCGCGGTAAACGTGCTTGAACTTTCAATGTTGGTGGAGACTGCCACTTATAGTTCTCGGAATCAGTTTCCGGATTCAATGGGCGAATTTGCAAATAAACTCATTAGACGTTATACGCCAGTAAATCACCATTTCAAGGTTAAGCCACACCCAGCAGAGGCAAATTGCGTAATGAGGTAGGGAACAATAAAGCGGAAAGAATATATACGCCTGCTATGGGGATTGAAGCACGTCATCTATCACAATAATGGGTACCACTCTAAATTTTACTGGCAATAAGTATAAACAATCTCTTACGATATCTAACATATGCACGTATCCGATATGTTGTTATTTAAGTTCTGAAAAAAACGTTCGTTCAAGCTGAAACTCCATCTAATAACACTTTTTGGTAAAATGCGTTGTAGCGTTTCACAATTAATTGTGTAAGCAATGTATTAGACCAAGAGATGCAGAGATATGCATAGGAACAGTACTAATGGTATAGAAAAAAAAGGGATTATAGTTAATGTTGGGGACGTAATACAATAAAGCTGGGTTTGCAGGCAGGTAAGTGGAAATAGGCAGAGAAAAGTTATAGAAGTGGATTTGCCTAAGGCAACTTTGCATAGTTAAAGGTATCCAGCGAAAACGCGACCACAACCGAAACAACAAATATGTTGAACGCTACAGAGTTAGTCTTGATGCCATGACTAGGTGGCTATCTCTTTTGTTATTATGGAAAAAGAGAAAATTATAGTCATCAATTCAAAAAGTCCTGTTTTTCTAACGTCTCATAGTAGTAGTAGTAGTAGCTTGCATTTCGTAACCGGTGCGCATCGCAACTGAAGATAGATAGCAGAAGAACCTTAAACCGTTTGGTGTTAGGTCATACTATGTAAACTTTAATTACTATCATCTGCAAGAAAAGTATCTGGCTTCGTAGCAGCGTAGAATGTAAATTAAAATTGGCTTTGCGAAAAAAAAGATTCTAAAATTAGAAACGACATTTTCCTTTTAAAGTGTCTTACGGTAGACAATATGGGGGCATAGTTATCTCACCACCACAATCGGAACGCTATCTACGGGTTTATTATCTTATACTGATATATTCCACAGGTTTGCTATTATATTATTTCGAGCGTTTAGAAGCTACGGGCCGAGCGCGGAGTACTGTGATCAAGGTATCGAAATGCCATCAAATCTGTCTATCGATATTTCATGCTTACAAACTGTCGGTATACCCATTTGGCTAACCTCTATGCTATCAGCTTTTCGGGCTGTTTGATAATGGCGCAGATTCTTCAAGTGGCAATAATGTGCGCATCGTAGATTTCGATTGTTGAGTCCTAACACGTAACCTTACGCTTTATCTGCACAAAGAGCTACTTGCTTTTGTGGCCTATCCTTCAGTTGTTCTGTTCGGGCATAAAAATAACTCAGTGCGATATTAAT